TCCAGCAGGGTACGCACCTCTGCATTCAGCCAAGGTTTTCTGTTTGGGTAGCACTGCATCCTCTTCTAGATTTACTTAAGTTTAAAAAAATGTATTTTAAATTTTATTACAGTTTTTATTCAGGAATAAATACTCATTTAACCATCCAATCTATTCAATACAGTGCATCCAGAAAGTATTCACAGCGCTTCACATTTTCCACATTTGTTATATACATTTGTACTATTATTACGTAAATGCGATTTCTTAGTTTTCTATTTTAAATAAATTTGCAAAAATCGAAAATAGTTTTTCATATTGTCATAATACACATACAGTATGTGTAAAATTTTGAGGAAAGAGATTAATTAATTTGGATTAAGCTGTAACATAACAAAATGTGGAAAAAGTGGAGCGCTGTGAAGACTTTCAGGATGTGCTGTAGCCTTTATGTGGGATTCTGTGTTTTTGCCCTGTTTTTTCCGTAATGATCATGTTTCCTGCACTCCCCAGTGATTCCCCTCATTGTTCAGCTCCTGTCGCACCTGTCTCCAGTTCCAATTACCCCAGGTGTTTGTCATTGTGCCTCATTAGTGTCTGTATTTATTCAGTGTTTTTATGTTTTTTCATTGACTGTGAATTGTGCGCTCAAGCCTGTCATGCTCTTTGTCTGTTCCTCTTGTCATCTCCTCCATAAAAGTAAGTTTTGCTGCCCCATCAGCTTTTTGTTTGGTTTAGTTTAAATAAATTAAAATAATTTATTTTTACCTGAAGTCTTCTGTTGTCTGTCTGCAAGTGGGCTCAAATACCAAATCCGCAGCTCATGATAGCATATGGCTGAGGGAGTGGTGGCAAAGAGGTTAGAGAAAGTAGGCTTGTGATCGGAAGATAGCCAGTTCAACTCCTGGTACCGACAACATCAAAATGTGGGTGGGATAGGCAACACACCCTTACTCTGGGCCCTTGAGCAAGGCCCTTAACCCCCATCATCTGCTTCCCGTGTGCCCTAGATAGCAGCTCTCTGCTCCACACAGAGGCTGTGGTAGCTCAGTGGTCTGTGGTTGTGTCAGGAAGGGCAAAATAATTGCCAAGACTTCATGCGACTTAGTTCGCTGTGGCAACCCCTGATGAAGGGAGCAGTCGAAAGAAGAAAAAAACAAACTTTAAAAAAATGATACTATGTGGCTAAGAGTTTTTATAGGCTTCATGTTAACCATATCAAGCTGATAATGTAGAAATTGAATGTGTGTTTTTCATATATTTGTCTGAATTTGCTGAGATGTTCATCAAATAGTTAAAATTTGATTTTTTTTTATTGGTACCTATAAATATACTATTTAATAGCTATATTTGATTTAATCAATGGAATTATTTGTGTGGGACAGACTCAAAGCTAAACAAATATCTTTATTGTGAAATTCAAAGTTTAAGATCTATTTGCCCACACCTAAACTACAGCAGGTGATTCCAGTAAGTGACTGTGATTTTTGATGGTTAAACTACAGATTCAAAGCATTCACCCCTCAGCACTAATGCCAGACGACAGTGTGCCAAACATATTTTTACCCCCCCCACTACCTTTTTTTAGAAGCATCTCTAACTCACATTCCACAAAACATTTTTTTCTGCATGTAGACCTGATTTATGTCAGAGATAAAAAAAAAAAAAAATGAATAGAATCATGCAAATGGATGATATGGATATACAGTATATTTAAAACCAGCTGGAAATGTTTTCAAATTCATGCATTATCAGACATCTGGATTTTTTGGTGAGTATACAGTTTTTTTAATTTATTATATGTATATATGTATGCCATATTTCAACAGAAAATCCATGCATGAGGGCCTTAAGCCCCCAGTATACTGCCGCGTACGTCCGTTCACGTGTACGTACGTGTGTACTGTACGCAGAGGGTTCAGACTTCGTACTTGAGCATACACCCCGAGCAGCTGCAGGGCAGCTTCACAGACAAGGCCGTTTACCTTCGGGACAAATTTAGGTCGCCGATTGGTCATTTGCTGACACGCCTATTGGATTGATCGACAGGTTGGGGGGAAAAAAAACGAGCGCTGGCAGCCTCTGCCGCAGCGGTGTTCTGTGTTTATATGTTGTTAATAAAAAGATCTAAAAAAAAAAAAAACAGGGAGCGCTGGCTCTGCAGCACACACATCAGACCAGCCCACCAGGAAATCTCTAGACCCTCCCGCAGTCACGCTGGCCCTGAGTTTAATTCGCTCATGACAAATTCCTTCATTTCTCACCATTTCAGTCATGGCATCAACGGAGGAGGAAGAGATCTCTTGCCTCTTGGCAAAAACACAAAAGAAAAGGCCAGATCAGGGATGAAGAAAAAGGCCAGATCAGGGATGAAGAAGGGGAATTTAATACATTGGTGTCGCATACAAAACAGTTTGTCTCCGGGCAGTTTATTGTGCGACACCGCGTACGCATTTGCGGTCGTAAAAATTTGCTTTGCGTGTTACCTGTTGTTTTGTCTGTACAGCACTTTGGTTGGCCTTGCAGCTGTTTTAAGTGCTTTATAAATAAAGTGGTATGGTATGGTATGGTAAAAATTGAGCTTTGCACGGACATGCCCTGGGGGGTACGCTTGTACCTCCGCGAACGTACATGCGTACCTCTGCGTATGGATGTACGCGGCAGTATACTGGGGGCTTTAGTCTTTGAAAATCAAACTGTTTGCCCTTGCAGTTATTTGCATAAATATGGAAGGATTTTCTTATTGTGCCTTATACCTCATTTAAATGTGGGCAAACTGCGACAAGATGGAGACACAAATGACTTTGTGAAATAGACAGATGTGCAAAATCCATGATTGCACATTCCTGAAAAAGATAAGTAAACTATTAGTAAACCTGGGCCAGAAAGTTTTCAGAGTAAATATAGGTCTGTGTAAATAACTGTCTGAAAATGTGCTGCTGTTTAAAAGTTTAGAATAAAACTGGAACCACTGAAAAATATTTAAAGTTTGACTTGCTTTGAAATGGTTCTTTTCAGAGTGCGAGTTTGATGAAAATTTCTCCAGCATTTATGATGGAGAAGTACAGAGAAAGTCAGAAAGAACTTCTTTGTGGATTTAGAAAAAGCATTTGACAGAGTGCCAAGGGAGGAGGGGTGGTATTGCATGAGGAAATCTGGAGTGGCAGAGAAGTATGTTAGACTGGTACAGGACATGTATGAGGACAGCAGGACATGTATGAGGACAGCAGGACATGTATGAGGACAGCAGGACAGTGGTGAGATGTGCTGTAGGAGTGACAGATAGCTTCAAGGTGGAGGTGGGAGTGCATCAAGATCGACTCTGAGCCCCTTCTTGTTTGCTCTGGTGATGGACTGTCTAACAGATGTGGTCAGGCAGGAATCCCCATGGACTGTGATGTTTGCAGATGACATTGTGATCTGTGGTAAGAACAGGGAACAGGTGGAAAAAAACTTGGAGAGGTGGAGATATGCACTTGAAAGAAGAGGAATGAAAGACAGCCTTAGTAAGACAGAGTACATGTGTGTGAATGAGAGGGAGGAGGTGGAACAGTGAGGCTACAAGGAGCAGAGGTCACAAAGGTACAGGACTTCAAGTACTTGAGTTCCACTGTCCAAAAAACAGGGTGTGTTAAAGAGGTGAAAAAGAGAGTCCAGGCAGGATGGAGTGGATGGAGAAAAGTTTCAGGAGTGATTTGCGACAAAAGGGTGTCAGCAAAGGTCAAAGGAAAAGTTTATAAGACAGTGGTGAAACCAGCTATATTGTATGGTCTGGAGACAGAGACGTGGACAAAAAGACAGCGAAAGAACTGAAAGTAGCAGAAATGAAGATGTTGAGGTTCTCCTTAGGAGAGACAAGGATGGATAAGATCAGGAATGAGATCATCAGAGGTTCAGCACAGGTTGAACAACTGGGAGATAAAGTTAGAGAGGACACACTGAGATGGTTTGGACATGTCCAGAAGAGGGACAGTGGTTTGGACATGTCCAGAGGAGGGACAGTTGTTTGGCTATGTCCAGAGGAGGGACAGTGGTTGGGACATGTCCAGAGGAGGGGCAGTGGTTTGGACATGTCCAGAGGAGGGACAGTGGTTTGGACATGTCCAGAGGAGCGACAGTGGGTATACTGGTAGAAAAATGTTAGAAATGCAGCTGCCAGGAAAAAGACAAAGAGGAGACATATGGATGCAGTTAGAGAGAACATGGAGGTAGTTGGAGTGAGGACAGAGGATGCAGAGGACAGAGTGAGGTGGAGTAGGAGGACTCGCTGTGGAGACCCCTGAAGAGGGAAAAGCCGAAAGAAAAAGAAGAAGAAGTTTGATGAAAATTTCTCCCCGAGTCTCAAAACTTAGATCACTCTGCCATCTGCTGCGGATGATACTGACTGATCAGGACTACTCTACAGAAAAACTCTGAACAGCCCCTTTAAGTTTTTAATGAGAGTTGTACCTGTAATGAATGCTTCCAGCATGAGTCCCAGCAGCATCTGCACAGCCAACAGTGCGATGGCACTGGGACAGTCTCCACTGGGGAACATTGTGCCGTAGCCGATGGTCAACTGTGTCTCCAGAGAAAAGGAAAAGGCTGCAGTGAAACTTGTAATGTGTTTCACACAAACTACGTGATCCTGTGGAGGGTGATCGTGATCTTGCACAGCAAGGTCTCCGTTGAGATGGGCCAGTAAGTACCACAAGCAAGCAAACAACAGCCAATGGGCAATAAAGGAGGCACAGAAGGCAAGGAGGACCCATCTCCAGCGCAGACTCACCAGTAGTCCCCACACATCCTGCAGGGCCAACAGCCAGACTCTGCTCCATCTCCCACACCATGAGTCTGAGGGGCAGGGTGGGAGACTGAGTGCACAGCGTCCATCTTTTGTAACTAAGCGTTGATGAGGAGCAGAGGACAAAAGAGGAGAGGACAAAGCTTTGCCAGCCAAAACATTGCAGTTGGATTTTGTTGTCATAGCTGAAGGTGGATCTCAAGCAGAAAATTGAAAATAATTCTGAAAAAGAAAATACAAAGAAAATTATGTTAGTGGCACAATCTTTGTCCCTTGAAGGGATAGTCTGGCTATTTCTGAAATTATCTAATAGTTTTTAATAGTTAGTACCTTATCAGCAATCACAGAGCACACACTGTGGAGAAAGAGGCAAAGTCTTCCTCTGGCTATTCTAATGGAGATGTTTATAATTTTTCAGGTTTATCAAACAACTATTTCTTAAATACAACAAAACAGTGTGGAAGAATACTAAATTAGCTAATATAAAACCTCTACACTTTGGCATGACAGTATTTTTTTTCTACGGAACAATGTAGATGTTACAACCCAAATGTATTTGTACTGAACAAATATGGACCAACAAATGTCAATTGTGCTGAGGCTGCTGGATGTATCAGTCCACCTGATCAATGCATCTAGTCAGTCAAAAGTTCACTGACTTGGAAATGACTCAGCTACTACCACAGTAAATTTTAGTTCAAGATCTGTAAAATTTGTTGCATTATAGTTGTTTTTGTGTTAGGGGAGTGGTGATGCAGAGGTTAGAGAAGGTGGGCCTGTGATCGGAAGATCGCCAGTTCAACTCCCGGTACAAACAACATAAAAAATGTGAGTGGGATAGGTGAAGCACCCACACCTTCCTCCACCCCTATTTGCCTCATTCTGGGCCCTTGAGCAAGGCCCTTAACCCCCAACATCGGCTCTTCTGGGCACCCTAGACAGCAGCTCTCTGCTCCACACAGAGAGCTGTGGTAGCTCAGTGATCTGTGGTTGCGTCAGGAAGGGCATCCGGCGTAAAAATAATTGCCAAGTCTTCATGCGACTTAGTTCGCTGAAAGGAACAGCCGAAAGAACAAAAAGTTGTTTTTGTGTTGGCCAATTTTAATTATAATGGTAGCCATCTTTAATTGTAGTACCTCTAAAAATAATCAATTGTAGATGTATATCTAATGATTACTTTCAGAGTTTCATAAACATTCACACAGTGATTTGGGAAATAGTTTGCTAACAGACAAATAGTGTTGACACAACCAGTTAATGACAAAGTTGGTTTTTAACATCCTGTTTCTTAAATTTATAACATTTTAAATTATCAGTTAACAATAAACAAACACCCCCCACCACGGCACCTATGTCCAATAAACATCCATCCATCTTCTACCACTTATCTGTAATAGGGTCGCAGAGCAACAGGTCATCCTAATCAGATGCCCAAACCACCTCAACTGACTCCTTTCAATGCGGTGGAGCAGCGGCTACTCCAAGCTCCCCCTGAATGACATAGCTCCTCACCTTATCTCTAAGTCTAAGCCTGGCCACCCTGCAAAGGAAGCCCATTTTGGCCGCTTATATCTGGGATCTTGTTTTTTTTTATCATGATCTAAACCTCATGACCATAAATGAGGGTCAGAATGTAGATCTACCAGTAAATTGAGAGTTTTGCCTTTCGACTTAGTTCTTTCTTCAGCGCAACAGACTGAAGCAATTCTCTCATTACTGAGGCTGAGGCAACAAATCCGTTGCTCCATCTCCCACTCCATCCTACCATCAATTGTGAACAAGATGCCCAGATAATTGTAAATGGTAAATGGACTGTACTTATATAGCGTCTTTCTATCTTAAGATACTCAAAGCACTTTACACTACAATCTGTGTCCGCATTTATCCATTCATACAGCACTCTGCTATGTCTATAATTAGTGCTTTATCACTTTCATACACCGATGGGACACACATTGGAGGCAATTAGGGGTTCAGTATCTTGCCCAGGGACATTTCGGCCTGTGGCAGGTGGTGGAATCAATCCACCAACTCTTTTATTGGCGGACGATTGCTCTAACCACTCAGCCACATCAGCCCAACTCAGTCACAGCTGCCCACTCCTCTACCTGAGGTAAGTTCTCTCCCCTGAATGGTAGAGGGCATTCCACTCATTTCAGGTCAAGAACCATGGCCTCAGACTTTGAGGAGCTGACTTTCATCCCAGCTGCTTCATACTCAGCTGCAAACTGCCCCAGTGCATTCTGAAGACCTTGGCCTGAAGATGACAACAGAACCACATCATCCGAATGAAGCAGAGGTGAGACCCTGAGGTTCCAGACACCCTCCTCTCCACGACTGTGTCTTGAGATCCTGTCCATGAACACCACAAATAATATTAGAAGCAACAGACAAGGGACAGCCCTGGCAGAGTCAAACACGCATGGGGAACATGCTCAACTTTGGACCAAGAATGCAGACACTACCCCTGCTTTTGTTATACAGGGACTGGATAGCTCTTAAAAGCAACACAGGCACCTCATATTCCTGAAGTACCCCCCACAGAATGCCTAGAGGAACAGGGTAGTAAGCCTTCTCCAGGTCCACAAAAACACATGCATACTGGAGAGGCAAACTCTCACAACCCACTTAGCAACTCTGCAATGGGGAAATATAGTCCACTGTTCCACAACCAGGACAAAGCCACACTGCTCCTCTTTATTCCAATTGACAATCAGTCAGTCTCCCTTCCAACACACTGGAGTAAACTTTCCTGAGGAAGGAGAGAAGTGTGATTCCATGATAAATGGAAGACACTCTCCTGTCCCTCTTTTTAAAAACAAGAACAACCACCCCAGTCTGCCACTCCACAGACATTGTTCCAGTCCTCCATGCGACATTGAAGAGACGTGCCAACCATGACAGCCCCACAACATCCAGAGCATCTTGGATCTTGTGAGCATCTTGGTGATGTTGGATGTTGTCAGCATCTTGGTATAAATGGTAAATGGTATAAATGGTATAAAGTTTATTCATTTTAAAAAAGTACAAAACAATTCCATATTCCATAACAATATAAAAAAGATACAAAAGATTTAAAATGAAAGGCAGCAGAAAGAAGAAAAAATCTTATTATATCTGCCCCTTTTTTCAAACAATTATTTCAATCATAATAATTTTCAAGTAACAG